CTTTGGAGTGTCGGTGCAGATACTGTGGGGTAAATGAAGACTTTGAATAAAACAGCAGGTGACAATACAATATCTTTGCAAAATGCAAACACATGGACAACATGAAAAATCTAATTCACCTACTCCAAATCATCGAAAAGAGAGCCTCTTGTCCGAAATGGCACCAATAGCTTAAAGGATGTGAAGGAAAAAGAAAGTCTGCAACATGCTTCTTTCAAATTTCGCTTAATATCTAATAATCTTCCTTTCACAACTTAATTAAATCACTTCCTTGTTGGAGAATGTACAATAATATATGTTGCCGATTGCTAGCCTAAACACTCAATACAAGATAAATTGCAACTTCATGGTTCACAATTAGCCACTCGAAGACTTCTTATTGATAACGCAGATAGAACTAAAAGATTCTGAGGGTTCTTAAGCACTTAATTCAAGATGGTGAACACACTATTTGTTGCATCTTTATGACTTGTACAATTGATTAATTTGGATGCTGAAAGAGTTGAGATCTCAGTTTGTTTCGATCTTGTTAACAGACTAAATTGTTTGGGTCTTGAAACAGACCAAATTGTTTGGATCTTGGAACAGACTTAAGGATGTGCTATGATATTGTTTACTCAAATAATGAATGTAATTTCATGAAATTCTGTAGTAGTCCAGCATTAAATATGAATAACAGTTTGTAGAATTGAAACTACAGCACAACACATAGGGTATAGCAGTCTAGCATTGAATATGAATAGCACTTTGTAGAATTGAACCCACAACCCAACACATAGGGTACACTTTCCTTTTCTCATTCGGGACAATCAACGCCTGACATGTATACAAGTATAATATCAGATACTACCATGCTGATGTAAATCTTTGAATCATCTTCTTCTTCATTTTATTTTTAGACAGACTGAGCAGCCGCAGATTATCAGACTATGACAACTTTCAACAGGTGAAATATCATAAGCAAGTCTTGCTTCTAATACCTATGATGTAGAGATCCTCCTTCACTATTTGCACTAAGCAATGTAGAAGACAGGCAAAACCAGATAATTCACGAAATTGTTTACACACTCACATTCAACTCAGATTGTTCAAGCGATTCCCTGCTAAAATTTGACGCACTGGCACGATATGCTGGGTCTACAATCTGTCCACAAAAAAAAGAAAGTCAATTAATGGTTTATAATGTTTGAGAAGTAGCCATGAAAGTAGTAGGGATATCTTCGACAAACCTTCACAGTTGCCACAAAGTTCATCATTGCAAGTGTAGGTGGCATGCATAGCATGCCAATCCGGCTACAGCAAGAGAAATAGAAATATGTTAGCACTTTAACCCAAAAAAAAAAAAAAGGATATTTCTGGATTTGTGCTGTGCAATATTTATTTTATTTTAAATAAATAAAAGGCCAAGTCTGATTGACATTAACTCAAGAAACAAATTGGCGATGGACAATTTTTTCTTTTTCTTTGGTGAAAAAAGGTTCGCTTTTCAGCCATTGGCTTCAAAGACCGAAGTTCACAGCCTATGAAGCTCGTACATTGAAGCTATAACCTCAAATTAATGCTGACAGAGGTCCTAGGCAAATCTAAAATCATATTAAAAGAGAGTGAGAGACAGAGACAGAGAGATTGCAGCAAAGCTCAAGAATACAAACCTCCAGTATAGTTTTTGCTCCAGTTCATCCGATGATTTAGGCAAGGGAATATCATCAAACTCGGTTTCCTCGGTTGCCTGCATAAAATTTGAAACCATCAGAACCTTTTTAGGGTTGGTGATTTAGGAGATATATATATAAACGACAGAACAAAATTAATCGAAAAGAACATGCAAAAAGAGGCATGGAATTCGATTCGGGAACCTGTTTATATAGGCCGTAGAGCATTAACATTGCGTCCTGAGGGTAATTTGAAGGAGGAAGAGAAGTCGTCGATTCATTGAACCCAACGTAGGCTGCAGCTCTCTTAAAATTATCTACCAGCTTCTGGTGATAAATTTCGGGCTTTTCAACCCCACCGCCGTGCCACTCTTTGGCGATGCGAAGGAATTTCTCCCTTTCCTCGGCACTCATTCCTCCACCCCGCTTTTCCTCCATCATCGTCACTCTTTATCAAAACCCTAAATTGACCCAAATCGTCCCTCCTTCTCAGAACACTAAACAAGTAGCGAGATAACAAGCGTGATGGACCCAAACTGACAATAAATCGTAAACCCACGGTAACAATACAAGAACAATGAAATAGAGGCAAAGGAAAATTTGTTTTTCAAGTATTCGCACGGCGGCGTGGCTTTTTTTAACATACGGACAAAAACACAAAACTGACTTTTTTATATCCAAAAAGTTCGAGACCAGTGCATCAGCGGATTGGTCAAAAGCTTAGCTTACTCGTTACATTTAACAAGTCGAGTTCGACCTTCAAAAATAAATATTCGAGCGCTCGACGAGTTTAATCGAGTTTTCATATTATATTTATGTTATATATTTTAATTATGAAATGACTATTATGGGTTTGTGTTTTAATAAATTTACATGAAATAATATTCAGTTAAAAAAAGTGATGGATGGCAAAATGGTAATATGATAAATCTAAAATGTAAAAAATTAAAAACAAGAAAAAAAAATCACTCTCGTTTATCTTATTGTCTGAACTCTGAACAAAAATGCACTCTCACAATCTCACTTTCAAAGTTCAAACCTTTAGTACTTCTTCGCAGCTCGCAGGTGAGCAAAAACCAGCATCGCGCTTTGCTTCTATACAAAAGCCAATGGATCTCATCTACTAATTTACTTCTCCTTTTGGTTTTAACTTCACAACATGATCGCGCTGAGCTGCTGATTATCTCCTCTGCACTTATAGTTGTAGCATGACTAGCGGCAGAATGTCACTCGATTGTAAAGCACCTGGCAGTTGGCAGTCAATGCAGCTCGTTTGAGGTAATAAAAAACTGACCTTGGTATTTGGGTGTGAATTTTTGAGTCTAAGTTCCCATTCTACTTCGGAATATGAAAACCTAATTTTGAGTCTTTGGTAAAAATTGTGGGTTTTGTTGACAGTGAGTAGAGGCTATTAAATTAGCAATTTGTGGCTTAAATTTATGATGGAATCAAAGGGGAGTAAAAGCTATTGTAAATTTTTGGAGAAAAAATGCAAAGTGACACTGGCCCTTCTACTGGTGGTTCAAGATTAGATGTTGTACCTCAGGGACTAGGTAACCTACCGATTCCTATGTTGGTTTTTAAATAACTTGAGTGAATGTTTGGTTTGCTTGTCTATTGATTCTATGTTGGGAGCTTGTCTGCTGATTTTATGTTGGCTTTTTTTTGGAAGGATCCTGCAAGCCTGCATATTTTCAATTTCTAGAATGTTTCTACTTGTTACATCCCGTATGAATTCATGAAAGCATTTTGCTGTCCTTGGCATTGAATTACTGGCCCCCAACAAAAGATTTGTGCAAAAGACTAAGTTGACTGCTTAGATTTTGGCTCATTGTTTGGTTTTAAATGGACCTTGCCCCCATGCAATTGGCTAAACCGACATGTAATGTAATTTCGCATGTTCTTGGGGGGAAAAAAAACCAACATGTAATCCTTGTAGTTTAAGACTTAATGATCCCTGTGAGATTAATGTACTAATAGTTTAAGACTTAATCATAGCTAATGATTTTTTTTTTTTGGCAAATTGAAGGTGGATGTAGTCCACCTGAGGTTTCTTCTATCCCTCAGCTATCAAATGTAGGTTCATCCACTCCAATATTGCTCGATAGTCCTGTTTTTACTAGCAACAACACAACTCCAAATCCAGAAATACATGTGGCTGATCAAGGAAGTGAAAAAACTCCAATTGAGAATGAAGGAACACAAGTGAATACTATGGAGAAAAATGTAAAAGAAGGAGAGCAAAATAAAGGTGATGATGAATTCCACATTCCAAAAAGAAGTAAAGCATCACAAGTTTGGGATGACTTTGAAAAAATTGAAGAAAATGGCACATTCTATGCCATATGCGTCCATTGTAAGAAAAACTTTCAAGGGATAAATCTAAGGAAACTTCAAGCATGTTAAGGCACCGGATTTCGTGTCCAACTAGAAAAGTACATTTTATAATGGTAGCACAGCAAACAAAACTAAATTTTCAACCATCTAATGAGATATTTTCGACTTTACCGGCATTACATACTGGCAAGTTTGATATGGATGCAATGAGGGAGGCTGCTGCACATTGGGTGTTAATGCATGAGCTTCCATTCACTATCTTGGAGGAAGAAGGTTTTAACATCATGATGAGACGGGGAATGCCAGAATGGCAAAAGATCTCTCGGGGAATAGCAAAAAATGATTGCGTGACAGTCTATGAAGTTGAAAAGAACAAGTTGAAGCATGTGCAAAAAGTGAGCATCACAACCGACCTTTGGAAATCTAAAATTCAGAAAATAGAGTATATGGTCATCACCGGACATTGGATTGACTCAAATTGGAAGCTTCAGAAGAGAATTCTCGACGTGGGGTGGAGATTGCTACTGCAATTTTTAAGTGTGCGAAGGAATGGGAAATTGATTACAACATACATACTATATCAGTCAATAATGCCTCCAATAACGATGTTGCTATTAGACTTTTGAAGGATGACTTCTCTAGATCAAAAAAGCTGCTATGTGGAGGCAAACTTTTTCATGTTCGATGTTGTGCACACATCTTGAACCTTGTGGTTCAAGATAGCCTTTGCAAGATAGTGGACATCACCAACAATATTAGGGAAAGTGTGGAATTTGTCAATCGCTCCGAGGGAAGAGCTTTGTTGTTTGCTAAGATTGCCCAACAGCTCCGAATACCCGGGAAAAAATTGTTTTATGATTGTCGGACTAGATGGAATGCCACTTTTGAGATGCTAAATTGTGCCATCAAATTCAGAGATGTTTGACATGCGCGCGGTATACATATCAATTTAGCTCATCCACAATCAAGTTTTACATTTATCAACTCTTAAGTGTCCCACACGCGATTTATCGTAAGTATATGAATCGTGAGCGAGTATAGGGTATTAAGGGTCGATCCCATAGGGAAGATTGCAATTACCGGTGTTTTTCCAACTCGTTTATTATCTAGACTATAAGCATAAAGTAAAAGTAATACAATTAACACTAGAAAGCTCCCAGAGGTATGGAATTCTTCACTACTCTTGCAAATGAGATTATCGGTTAAGTGAATGTTATTATCTTGGTTAGTTATGACGTAATTTCCTAACGTATGTGAAACCTACTCTCGTAGTGAATCAACTATACTTGTAGTTAAGCCATACCTACTCTCGTGGTTATGAAATTAACTACAAGCTCATTTCTTCTATGAAATTACATGAAACAAGTCACTTAAGTTACATAGGTGCTCTTCTACTTTCGTGAATGAACTCCCTAGGTTTATCACTTACTTAAACTAGTGTTAAATTTCAATTTTCATTACAAACTTAACACCTTAAAATTATTATAATTAATGGTCAGTTAATCATGATTAGATAAGTAAAAGTGATAAATAATTTGTTCAAAATAATATCACCAAATAACCAAGTAAACATCACAGACAAAATATAGCAAGTTCAACCATAACTCTCAGCAAAAACTTTCACTAAACATGAAGAAAATAAAAGAAAGATCCATACTTGTATTATAACTAAACATAAGATGCAATACAAGAAATAAAGTGATAGGAGAAATGTCACCCATGTCACTTGAACTCCATGCTCTCCATCTTCATCCTCAACTTTATCTAAGTTTGGCTACTAATACAAGAAGGAAACACTACCCTAACTAATGAATTAAGAAAAACTAGTGAAAACTACATTTCTGGTGAGTTTCTCTAGCCTTCCAAAGTTCTCTTGAATCTTGCAAGTCCATAGTTATATATAGATGAATGCAAGTCTAAGGTGTTAATAAAGTCAACAAAACAATGTTCAGCCTCTTGATTCTACCGTATTTTTTTTACTTGACAATAAGCTATTTTTCTTCCTCTGTGCATCAAAAACATGTGCAGCCTAAGTTTTCTTTCCAACTATAGCTGGAAAGTATTGTGAAAATGAGAAAAATGGCTGAGCAAATTGCAGAAATTTGGCTGCCATACACGTATTCACTTTTGACCTCGTTTCAACAGCAATTTTCTTTATGATGGAGGCCAAACTGGCTCTTATGCAAAACATAAAAGTCGTAGCCTAAGCATCTAATTTAGAGCTCGGTGGACTGAGATATGATCGAAATAACATAGACTGGTCAATTCCGTGTTTCAGCTCTCGACCATACAGATTAGCTTCTGTATTTCGACTTTTTGACTAGGTAAACAGCTGAATTGGACTCTGATGTCTTCATACCAAATGTAGATCTATTTCTTAGCTTCAACATGGTTCAAGAATCATCTTAATCCAATATGTGTAGCTCAAGATATAGCCAAAATATAGAAACGTGCCAAAATTGTCTTCTCTTGCAATTCTTCATTTGACTATTTTGCATTTCATTTCTTCTTTAAACACCTCAAATCATCATCAATCATCAAATTTCCTTCTCAATTCACACCCTTTGATGATTGAATCATTAATCCTATAAGAGCATGAAATTTTTACCATTAAAATCTATAGAAATGCAATATTTGCCACTTAGACCACAAAATGTATATTTTCACTAGAATTCTAGTTAATTAACTATAAAACTACTTAAAACACACCAAAACTAACTAATAAAACACACTTAAAACACGTAAAATATCTACTTGTCAATGTTTTTCCCCGCTTTCAAAATAGAGAGCCACTTTATGATTTTTGCCTATCTCCTGATGATTGGGATAAAGTAGAAAAGGTTTGCTCTATCTTGGAGAAATTTTGGACAACCACACATTATGTCTGAGACTGATTATCCTACAAGCAACTTGTTCCTTCAAGAGGTGGCAAAAATTAAGAAAGTTTTAGATGCTCAAGTCAATGATGAAGACGACTTCATTCGGGCCGTGGTACAAAAGATGAAATCTAAGTTTGATAAATATTGGGGCGACTGTAATTTGCTAATTGCAATTGCTGCCATTTTAGATCCGAGACAGAAAATGCGAGTTGTAGAGTTCGCATACCCTCAAATGTATCCTTCTTTCCAAGCTCAAGAGCATATCTCAAATGTTTGAAAAGTCTTATTTGATCTTTATGAGGAATATGTTGCTTTAATGGCAAGTATAGAAGGAAGAGCAATGGAAGATTGTTCTGTAGAAGGGTGGCGAAAAAATGCACCAACTTCTTCTTCTTGGGATGATTTCGATATCTATTGTGATGAAGTTGAGACTAACTAACCCCTTAAGTCGGAATTGGTTGATTATTTAGATAAGCCTCGCCAAAAGACTGGAGTAGACCTGAAAGCATTTGATTGCTTGGAATGGTGAAAAATAAATCGAATTTCCTATCCAGTATTGTCTCAGCTGGCTTGCGATATCTTGGTCATTCCAGTAAGTACAGTGGCATCTGAGGCCATGTTTAGTGTCAGGACTCGAGTAATAGACTCCTATCAAGTTTCACTTCACCCAGATACTGTTCAAGTGTTGCTGTGTGCCGGAGATTGGTGTAGAAATCTCCATGCAGTCAAAAAGAAAATGAAGGTAATATTTAGTATTTTAGTATTTGAGACCACTATTTGTGCATAAGTTACTCAATTTATTATTTTCTAAACTATTTCTAACTTTTAATGTTTTGTTTTCTTTCCCTTTCTTCTAATATGCAGCAAGTTAAGATAATTAAAAAAGTTGAGTTGCCGAAAGTATGAAGATGTCTCTCAAACAACCAGGTTTAGTAGAATGGTCCTTATGGAATCTTGTAGTTCTTAATTTCTTTTTTCTTACTTTTGTCCTTTAAATTGATACAACTGCATTCTTGATAGGACTGCAATTTTTGAATCTTGGGTTGGTCTCTGATGCATACTGGGATGCCAAGCAAATTAGCACCTTTCTTTTGTTAAACAAGCTGTGATTGCACTTGTCCTTTTGATTCTTGATGCATACTGGAATCTTGTGTGCTTGCCTTGCGGTGGTTGTTCATTTTTTGATATCTTGATGGACTGATCAGTGATAGTTCAAGATGACTTGTTACTTTTGTATTTTGTAATGCTCGAAACTTTTGACACTAATTTGGGATGTTAACTGATAAGTGGTGGTTCAAGTCTATTTCGATATCTTGTTAACTTTTATTTGCGAGGATGTTAACTGGTATTATCTGTAATTTGGGATGAATTTGAAAAGGCAAACCTGTTTCATTATATACACTTGTTAGTCATGGTTTATATTGGAAGTCTGAAAATCAGGATATTGAATATGGAAGTTTGGATTTTGAGAAAATAGTAACTCGAGCTCGAGCTCGAATCTCGATCTCAAGTAGCTTAGGCTTGATATTTACTCAAACTCAAATGAGTCGAGCTCGAGTTTAATTTTCATTTTATCGAGTTAATCTCGAGTTCAAATTTATATACTCGTTCGAGCTCGAGTAACACTGATTGAGATCGAGTTCAAGCTCGAGTAAGGTGTTACTCGAGCTCGATAGCAGCTCTACTCCTGATAGGAATAGGTTAGGGATAACTGCAGAAACCTCTCTTGAGGTTTCTAACAATTTCACTCGGTTTCCCTCATATTTAAGAAATTACACTTATCTCCCTTGACATAATAAAATACCTATAATGCCCTCTACTTAGTAGAAAATTTTAAATTTAAAACAATAAATTTACATAACCTAAAAAAATCTATTTTTCTGTCTCTTGTCTATTTTTCAATTAATATAACCTTTTTTTTATTATCTTCTCAGATTTTTGAATATTAGCCATTTGAAATTATAAAATCTACAAAAGGAGTAGATTATGTGTCAAACTAAAAGAAAATGAAAAGACTCGCAGTAATAGAGAAATAAATAATGAAATTGATGATTGAAATAGAAAGAAGAACTAAAGATGTAGAATTTATCATGTTTTGTTTGTTATCAAGAAAAACTTTTATAAAATGTCAATAATTATATAAGGATTTCTTTCATTGGATTTGAAATTTTTTATTATGATTTTATTATGGAAGTAGAATTTATTCTCCACTTTTGATATATTAATATTTTTAAATCCATAGAAGGGTTGTAATGGTGGTTCTAGGTCAGGTTAGATTATATTAAAAAGGTATTTGAGCATTGATATTTAATTTGGGGGTATGAAATTGGTTGTCAATGGGATTTTATGTGTTTTTTTTTTATCATAACAAGTACTGATAATGTATATGTAATTTGGAATCTTTTGGACGGCTACTTAATTTTAGAATTTATATTTGGATGGTTGTTAAGAATTAGACTTGTTGATTTATGCAAAGTGTGGAAGAAAATGATTGAATATACTATATTTTTCTTTCTTTGTTTTGTATAAAGGACAATTTAGGAGTTTTGAAAGAAAATTTAACTTGTTGGAACTACATTGTTAGTAAACAATAAAAGTAAGAGAGGTATATGTACTACAAAACGAGAATATTATGTGTCAAACTAGAAGAAAATAAAAAAACTCGCAGTAATAGAGAAATAAATAATGAAATTGATGATTGAAATAGGAAGAAGAACTAAAGATGTAGAATTTATCATGTTTTGTTTGTTGTCAAGAAAAACTTTTATAAAATGTCAATAATTATATAAGGATTTCTTTCATTGGATTTGAAATTTTTTATTATGGAAGTAGAATTTATTCTCTACTTTTGATATATTAATATTTTTAAATCCATAAAAGGGTTGTAATGGTAGTTCTAGGTCAGGTTAGATTATATTAAAAAGGTATTTGAACATTGATATTTAATTTGGGGGTATGAAATTGGTTGTCAATGGGGTTTTATGTGCTTTTTTTTTTATCATAACAAGTATTGATAATGTATATGTAATTTGGAATCTTTTGGACGGCTACTTAATTTTAGAATTTATATTTGGATAGTTGTTAAAAATTAGACTTGTTGATTTATGCAAAGTGTGGAAGAAAATGATTGAATATATTATATTTTTCTTTCTTAGTTTTGTATAAAGGGCAATTTAGGATAAAAATTAGACTTGTTGATTTATGCAAAGTGTGGAAGAAAATGATTGAATATATTATATTTTTCTTTCTTAGTTTTGTATAAAGGGCAATTTAGGAGTTTTGAAAGAAAATTTAACTTGTTGGACCTATATTGTTAGTAAACAATAAAAGTAGGGGAGGTATATGTAATTTTTAAAACTTGAGGGAGCTCTTTGTAATTATTAGAAACCTCAGGGGAGGTTTGTGAATTATCCCAATAGGTTATGTTAAATTAAGAAAAAAAAAAGAGTACTTTAGACTATTAGTAATAAAGGATCCAATTCCAAGTGATCACTCTCTTAACCAAACAATAATAGTAACCAATCAACTAATGTCACATGGCAACATAATTAAACTAGTGTTCATTGCACACCCAATGTGTGTGCAATCAAAAAATACATAATATTTATAATTATATATTTTAAATATTATTTTTATTACTGAAGCAAACTTTAATATTTTGAATATTTTCATAAAATTATTTTATATTGGTAGTTATAATTTTTAGGGGTAGTTATGTTGCAAACATATATTTAAATAGTTAAAAGTAAAAATAGTCATGAGTAATTATAGATAGTTAGAGTAAAAGTAATTTTTATTAGGATAAAAAAAGAAGTTCATAAAGTGATGATAAATGTTAATGTTAATTCCAAACCCCTTCCTCATGCTATATATATAGTGTAGATAACAAAGATTTGGTTTATATTTCTACATTGTCTCCCTTAAACCAAACTCATCTAATTTGGACATGCGCAACATCTTCTTCAACTCGAAAAAAGTCTTTGTCTTCAATGCCTTGGTGAAAATGTCTGTCACTTGCTTTTCAGTCCTGCAATAGTCTATCTTAATCTCCTTCTCTCGAACCAACTCACGTATGATGTGATATCTAATATCAATATGCTTGCTATGCCCATGGAGTACAATATTTTTGGACAACTCAATCGCAGACTCACTGTCACAATAAATTTTCGTATGATCAACCTGCTCATGTTGTAGCAGACCAAGTATACGACGCAACCACAAAACTTGAGTAGCACTATTAGCTGCTACAATATACTTCATTTCTGCAGTAGACAATGCAATCACCTGCTGTTTCTTAGAACTCCAAGAAAATATCCTAGAACTTGTAGACACCAAATTTTTGTCAATTTTAATATTTTCTCGAATTTTTATCTATTTAATGGGTCATTTACTTTTATACATTATAATGTAATTTTTCTTATTTTGTAGGTTTATTTGAAAAGAGAAAAAAAAAAAAGAAAAGAAAATCATGAAAAGAAGCAATCGCTCTCTAATCATTTTTTTCCTAACTATTATACTATTAACCCAACACTTCACTCAATGCCATCCTTTTTTCTTGACTAATGTAGTCTAGTCAAATAGTTGTCAGTAAGCTAGGCCCATATTTATCAAAGTCCGATGGGGCCCCATAGATCCATCAGCCAAGCAGTATCAGTGCCATTTCCCCCGCTATGGGAACGTCGATTCAGTTCATGGTTCTAATGGCTTAATTTTAGAATGATTTAGTATTTTCAGTTGTGGGATTAGTTTGATTTTATGGGCCATAACGCCACGTGATTCGAAAATTGTTGTTTCAGTACGTAGAGCTTCAAGTAAAGCAGATTTGATTTCAGCGCTGTATTCTAGTTGCCTGTCCTATTGCATCTTTCTTATCTGTATATTATTGGGTATGTTCATTGCTAGCTAGAGTTGAGAGTTATGTTAGTATCAAATCATCCCCAGAAAGCTTCCAAGATAGGCACTCAACTCCAGACATGAACGACAGTATTTAAGAATGTTGATGGAAACATGTTTTAGCTTGGTTTATAAAGGGAAAGAAGTAACGCTTAATTTCCTCCCTCTCTCTTTTTTTTTTTTTTTTTCTGGTCAAACATGTTGAGCATGTTGCCACATAAACTCTCACCTGCTATCTAGTTTAGCCTTCCACCTCCTCACAAACATTTGCAGGCTAATTTCACAGCTATATCCTTTTTATGTTCTTGTTGAAATATTCGACATTATTCAAGTTGATTGCAGTTTAAAGAGATCCAGGAAGTTTCAACCTGAAGATAGGCTGTTTTCATTATCTTCCACCACCTCACCGGCGGTATGTATCCGTAACCTTCATTTGAAGATGGTGGCTCACCGGCACACTAATTGCTAATTTTGAGTTTAATTAGATACGGATGTGGAACTTTTTCCCTATTTATTCTTTTTCGCAACCCATCAGCAAGCTATGCATTTATATTCTTCCTAAGAGTTTTTCATCTTTATATGTAATAAAACCATGCATTTTCTAGATTGAGAGCATTTTGGGGATAAGATTCTTGGTAGGACAAAAGATGGTTTGAATGTCTAGCACTACTTATTTTCTGCAGATATAGAGGAATTATAAAGCATTGGTTCTCTCAATATCCCTGAGAGATCTGGATGAAGTGTTTTGTGTTTGGTGGGCTTGTTCTTTGGTGGATTAGGTTAAACAATACATATTGATAATGGAGATGGTTATATAGATTACTCAGAAAGTTTATTGATTCGGAAAATTCCTTGCCACTTGAATTTAGTTCCAAAAATGAATAATAAACTAGTAGCCTCTTACCACTTCATGTGCTAGCAAGATGACTATTGGGAATAATTTTCTACCTTTTTGTGTAAAACATTTAGTCTGTGTTTTGCTATCCCCTGTGGAAACTCCCCCTAGTTTCTTTAAACCGGAATGACTTCTCTGTTGTTGACAAGTCTAGTCTTCTAGCACGAGACTTTGCGTGTGTGAGTAAAGGAGGATGACAAATTCTGTAAACTGTTCATTAGCAATATCATCTTGACTGTTGTCTTTTTTTCTCTTCTCATTTGGATTTCCTTCATTTGCTCAGGCAGAAGAACAAGCTGCTGGACGAGATGGTGGGGCTTTATTGGCTAATGGACAGCAAGTATTTTATTTCGTCTGATGCAGGTAGTACCTTCTGTGCGCATTGAAAATTTTGACATGGATAGGGATTGATTTGGATAAATTTTTGTTATCTCCACAGAGGGAAACCAAAGAAGGGTAGGGGTGGCCCTAGAGATGCAAAGAGATCGAGGCAATCAAGCGAACCAGATTTTGACTATGAAGACGATGCTGATTTAATGTAGTGGTGACTCCTCGTATGATGGTACATCTGTTGGTATTGCATGATGCAGGTTGATAACTTCCTTGCGAATGCATTCAAACCGAGGTGGAAATGGAGCTTTTTTGGGTGTCATAATGTACATTATTATGCGATCCTTGCTTGGCTATCATTTCAGCATATGCTGTTGTAAGTAGATATGTACAAATCCCCATGATTTTCATGCAAGAAGGGGAAAAACAACTAAGGCAGGACATCTTTTTCAATCATCTTGTCTTGGCAGGGATAGAATTACGTTGGCGCTTGGCAGTCAAAAATTTTGTGGCCGACTGGATCCGGCAAATTGCAATTGTCATTTTGTCGAGATCCTTGGTATTCTGAGATTCTCCGTTGCTAGTTCGACATTGTTAAAGTTCCGGGGCTAGAAATCTATGGCTTTACTATCAGATGTCAAGGCTGCGACGCCCCTCTTCATGTTTGTTGTGGAATAGTAGAGTAGGTTCACATTTTTTTCCGGTTGAATGTCGTATATGGTGTCGGCTATTTTTTATGACCTGCTGATGTTGCTTTGGCATCTTCCTCCTCATAATGCGTTTTTAAGTCCAATTGTACAAGATGTCGGAGAGGTTGGAAGACCATCTGTCATTTTTTTGGGTCTAGACCTCTATTCCGGTCCTTATCCCTGCTAATTTTCAAGCATATCATGGTAACAGCGAAAGAAAGGAAAAGGAAAAGTAGGAATGTACCTGTGGTCCTTTCTTTGCTCCGCAGAGAGGAACGTTTTCTATAAAATCTGGGGTGGCACCGCTCGGCTTGCAAAAAAGTGGGAAAGCTTACTTTCAACGCACCGCCTGGGGGTCCATGGGATTCCATTTCTTTCCACTAACACTACTGTCTAAATTGTTTTGGTGCAAATCTTCATTAGCTACCTTCTTTTCCTCGAAAGCCATCAACCTTCCATTAAAAAAAGTAGAAGTGTTCTTTCGTCTTTGCGCAACAAAGTAATAATTGGACATATTTACAGCTTCTGCCCCAACTCCAAACCACACCATCAATTCAAGGGCCTCAACCAAGGAAGTCAAAAGGCACAGAGAAAGACAAAAAAGGCTTTTCAACAAAATTACGTTAACCTCGTTGGAGGTTTGGATAATCATGGAAATCCTTGGAGGTATTTTTATTACAAAATATTTTTAATCCTGGACTTTTGCATCGGGTGATTCCATATCTATAAGCTTATGATTGCTAGTACTAGCATGTAGATAACAATTACATGAACCATATAAAGATCTGGTAGGTAAATGGTCACTGCAGTTCTCAAAACCCCATGGGACATGGTTATTCTTACGTCATCAAAAATGAAAAAATCCGAGTAATGGGCTATCGTCAATTGTATTTTAGCACATAGGGGACTTGAATTTGGTCGGTAGATCTTGGCCAACTTCCTTTTTTTAGCACATAGGAAATTTTGGTTGCTTTTCTCCTCTGGTTTTGGGAATATATGCTTTTCTTTCCTTTATCCCGTTTTCTTTTCTTCTCAGTCCAAAAGTCTTTATCTGACTTTCCGTCCGAAACCTTATAACCACATTCCTTTCCCCCGTCCATTACCGCAGAATCAAACTTGCAGTTCAGGTTTACACAATCACATTCATACTCTCATTTCTTCTTTGAATATTTGAAACTTCTCTTCGTGGCCCTCCCGCAGTTACCGTATCTTCAGCTATGTCTTTCAGAATCAGAGGAGTATGTCTTTCTCTGCTTCTCTCCGTTTTCACGAGCTCGTGAATTTTTTCTTCTTGATCATGCTGATGATTTTAGTGCGAAACTTGTACTCCAATTTATATGCTCCTTAAAAGGGCGTCGTTTCGAAAAATTTTCTGTTTGATAGTTTGGAGCGGTTGACATTTTTCAGGTAATAATGACGACCGGGTTTCTTTTTTTTTTTTTTTGTATATTATATTGCAGCAAAATGCTACTTCTGGTATGGGAGTTGCTGATCACAGCAAAGATGCATTCTTGGAGTTGAAGAGGAAGAAGGCTTACCGCTATGTTATATTCAAGATCGATGAGAAGAAAAAGGAAGTTGTAGTTGAGAAAACTGGCAATCCAGCTGAAAGCTATGACGATTTTACTGCTTCCATGCCTGAAAATGATTGCCGTTATGCAGTCTATGACTTTGATTTTGTCACCTCTGAGAATTGTCAAAAGAGCAAGATTTTCTTCATTGCATGGTTAGTACTTTCTCATCCAGTCTTTTAACATTTTTTTGCCTCCTCTCTATATCTACTACCATCTTTCTTCTTCTTTTTTCTTTTTTGTGTTATAATTTTTTTTCTGGCTCTTGTGGGCAAAAACTTTGCTGAAAAAGAAGAAAATTGGATGTGCCACTCAGTTGACATAACCAGTTTCACTCCCTTTGATACGCCTAATGTTAGGACAAACACATCGATTTAAGTTAGCGTTTGACAGATTAATTGTTCATAACCTGTACAATTGTCTGCTGTTTGTTTTTAATTTCTATACTTACAATAACTTGAATAGATTACTTACTGATGGTTGTGACTTATCAAGCGCTATCTTTCTGGCCTTATATTTTCTCTTTCACGATAATGATATCTTCCTGATACTGACCAACTTGACACAGAATTTAAGATTTTACCATGCGCAGCTCTTATGTGAGGTATCTATTTGACTATGGTCATATGCATGTTTATCAGGTCTCCTGCAATCTCTAGGATTCGTGCCAAGATGCTTTATGCTACATCCAAAGAAAGGTTTAAAAGAGAGTTGGATGGAATTCATTATGAAATTCAGGCTACTGACCCTACTGAAATGGATCTCGAAGTTATCAGGGACCGTGCAAATTAAAGCTTCTGATGTTCATTAACTTTGTAAGAGGCAAATATTGATAGAGCTCCATCTTCAAAGCAATTATCATGTTGACTCCTTTGAGCTATCCACAGATCCATTTCTGGAGCAAGTGCTGCAAAAATAATGATACCTGGAGTTACTGATTTGAGGCCATGGTCAGTCTCTAGTTGCCTAGTGTATAATGTTCTAGTATGACTTGCTTCTTCTCATGAGGCGTTCATAATCTTGACTCGAGTACATATATTAGGCGTATATTTGGTTCAACAGACATTGGTTTGTTTAATGTGTATTGCACTTTAAGAAGAATAATGCCAAATGCCTTTTCCTTCTTTCCCTCTCAGTTACATGTTAATTCTGCAGCTCTTTTATAAACTTATGCTCTATAAATCATTGGCGACACCCACATTTCAATCCTTAAGTTCCCAGAGATAGTATTAGAAAATTAAGCATAACTTCGTCAGTAAATTTAGGGCAATTGCCAGATTAAAACAAGGATGTCCGTGAGTTAATGTAGAATCCGCGATCAGGCACTCCTTGTTAGTCTGATATATGTTACTTGACTTGTGAAGCCTTCTTCACGAGAGGTGCACAGAAGCAAGTAGAATAAAACTAAAGGAGTAGAAGGTGAAAAGCATCTGTTCTGCCGATGAGACCTCTATCCTAAAAATGAACGACATAAACATGCACTTGCTTGTATGCAGAAGAAGAAAAGATCAATCGTTTTGCTAGGAAGCACAATGACTCCAAGACAATGGTTTCCCATTGTATTCTATTTATTGCTATGTACTTTTTCTACTATTATCAGAACCACTTGCGCAGTTAACTCTGTGTGGGCTGCTGTGCCTGTTGGTCCTCACCTGAAATTTCTTCTAGAGACTTGCCCTTTGATTCAGGCACTAAGAACGTAAACAGTGCACCCAAAAGATTGATGACAGCCAACACAATCAGCGAATTTCTCATTCCAATGCCAGGTGGATATCCTGCATCTGTCTTTGTCTTATCTTGGTTTTGAGCCAAATACAAGAACCCAAACGCACCCACAATTGCACCTGATTTTCCAGATGCAGCTGAAATGCCATGGCAGGTTGCTCTCAACCTGGCTGGAAAAATCTCAGCAGGCACAATGAATGTCGTGGCATTGGGACCAAAATTTGCAAAGAAGAAGGTTAACGAGTACAGTACCACAAAGCCAACATGGTTTCCTTTAGCCCAGTGGTCGTAAGGGATGGCCAAAGCAAGCATAAAGATTGTCATCATACAGAAGCCCATCAACTGAATGGCAAACCTTCCCATCTTGTCAATCAGAAAGACAGTGAACCAATATCCTGGGACTGTACCGCACAAGGCAATCAAGGTTTGTGCCTTGGCGATCTTGAAGACTTCCTCCATGGCATTCATAGACTTTGCCGAGGGAAGCCATCCAATTGCAGAGAAGATGTCCTTTTGGAACAAATTTTGACTGTAATATGCAATATCAAGTAAAAACCATGTGGAGGTTGTACCTAACAAGTGAAGCCCATGGCGCCGAAGAAACTCCTTTGTGAACAAGCCAAATGAGCCTGCCGATTTTTGAGTTGTCTGGATGTTGATTTCTTGTTGTGCTTCCAAATCGACCTGTAGAACCTTAGACATGTCAGCGGCAGCCTGTTTTCCATTCTTGGCAACCAAAGCCGTATACCGGGCAGTCTCAGGCATCTTCATCCGCCAATAGTAAGTCAATGCAGCAGGAATTGCTCCAGCCATGAGAATTATCCTCCAAACATAGTCTGCCTGAGGAACAGTTGAGCCAGCGGGGTCGAGTGCAAAAGATGGAGCCTTAAACCTTGCATTGAAAATTGCAGAGATGATGATGGCAAAGATGCCACCAGATAATATCCCAAATCCCTGCATGGCAAAAACAGCAGCTATGAAACCGCCACGAGTCTTTTTATTTGCGTACTCTGACATGATGGTGGCCGACAGCGGATAATCGCCTCCGATGCCGAAACCAAGCCAAAACCGCCAAAAGCATAGTGTTCCCATGACAAATTTTGGACCATGCCCGAAGGAATGCCCCGAAGCAATTGAGGCAAGAACCATGATCATAAGCGTGATTCCGTACACCTTTTTCCGGCCCATTTTATCCCCAAGCCATCCAAAGAAGAGTTGGCCGGCCAGAGTTCCGCAAAATGCTACCCCATTTACCGCAGCTGATACGTTAGGAGGTAAGCTGCCTGGTTTTTCTGCTCCTTCGACGTAGTAGTATGTGCGGCCCAACAACTTTGTGACAAGGGATATGCAGAAGAGATCATATGCGTCCGTGAAGAAGCCCATTCCAGCAATCACAATTGCAGTGAAATGGTACCATTGTGTTTTTGCGACGTCAAGTGCATTAAGCACGTTATTTTGGGTTTCAGGCATTGCTGGCTGCAAACTTCTCTGCTTAAAAACGTATCTGCTCTTCTACGAGTACTCCCAAGCCTTTGTCCTGCCTTGGTAAAGATATCTGCAGAAACCGCACCCACAGATTTTGGATCATGCTAGCTGAAACTTTCCTCGAAATATGTTACTACATTTTTTTGATAAAACAAAAAGGACCCTTTAAGTTGTTGCATGTATTTCCAAATTCTCAGGACATCGTGTTAGGTTTTTGAAGACTAACCATTTTCTGAACAAGATAAGCATGCATGATAAGAAGATGTCTAAACTCAAAATAAAAAAAAAAACATTTTAATTTAGTGTATGATACCTTTAATAATCTAA